ATTAAAGGCGTGTGCCACCACAGCCCAGCTCAGATTTTTCAAAGTAAGAAACACAAATGAATGTGAAACACTTAAAGGAATGTTCTGAAGTCCTGCATGACTGATGGGAGTTCTGTAAGTCATACTGCTAACTGGTGTTATTAATAAAAAACCATGAGCCGGATGTTGTTGTCAAAACTGAGAGATCACAGAATCACAAAGCAGCCAGGAACATTCTGACCTCTAGGAAATCCTCAGCCATAGAGAGAGCTACTTCCTGTATATTCATGCCTACTTGCCTTTCTTTGCTCAGCCACCTTACTTCCTCACTCCTCCCAGGTACATTACTTCCTCTTTCCACCCAGCTCTATCTCTTCCTCTCTGTCTGTGCAGACCTCCATACCTCTTTGTTTAACTAGCACTGGGATTAAAAGCATGAGCTACCTACCACACATAGCTCTGTTCCCAGTATGGATCAAACTCACAGACATCCAGATGATTCTCTGCCTCCTGAATGCTAGGATTAAAGGTGTGTACTACCATTGTCTGAACTCTATGTTTAATATATTGGCTGACTTTTTCCTCTGATCCCCAGATAAGCTTTATTGAAGTGCACAAATAAAATATCACCAAAGAGTTTTAAGCAGGCTGATCAACTCTGGTGCCACCAGGGCACAGATCCAGGGCTTTGAGTCCATCAATCCCACCAACTGTTCCATCTACAGGTGCTGGAGCACATGGAGGAGTTGGTCTTGCAGAACCAGTTGTCAACCCTAAATAGTTGAGGTCCTAGTTGCACCTACCAGACCCTAACTTGGGGCTCATGTGTTGTGGCCGTACTGCTTGAATGCCTGGGAGACATATCTGGTAATGTTGTGGGGTGGGACAGAAGAGTGGCACTTCCTGTGGACTACAAGCATAAAGGTAGAGAATAGCAAGCCTTGGGGAGGCCAAGATTAAGGAAAGAATGTTGGGTGGCAGCCTGTAATTCACAGGAACTTTTCCACCACCACTCCTTACCCCAAAGCCATACCTAATCATAATCCACCTTGACTCTGGGCAAAAGCAGGATATCTGAGATGAGTCCCAGTGCTGGTCCAGTATGTACGGTCCACAAAAAAAAAATTACCAAGTGTTGGTGGCTCTGGGCTTGAATATAATTGTTCTAAAGGCAGAGGCAGGTAGATCTCTGGGGAGTTCAAGGTCACTCTGTTTTCCAAATGGAGTTCTAGGATCACCAGAGCTGTTACTCAGAGAAATCTTCTCTAGAATAAACAAACCAAAAAAGAAAAGAAAAAGACAACATCAAACAAACAGGACCAATGACTAGTGTCATCAAATATTTGCATGTAAACCTGACTGGGCACAATAATATACATTGTGACATACTGCAGTTTTGAGAGGGAAGCTAAAAACTTCACATCTTTACATTAAACCAGAAAGCAGAGAGAGCTAATGGAGAAGGCTAGGCTAGTCAATGTCCTTAATCTTAAGCACAATCGTGGAATGAAGTTCTGCCACTGTGATGTCTATTTTTGGTTCTCAACTTGAATGTATCTGGAATGAACTACAATCCAGAAACGGAGGGCACCCCTGTGAGAGATTTTTTTTTGTTTAGTTTTATTCTGGATCAAGAGCAGGGAAACCCTTATCTTTAATGAGGATCTCTACGTGTTAAGACACACACCTTTAATCCAGATCTTCAGGCAAGAAGACACACCTTTAATTTTGGCCACACCTTGTGCAGGAAGAGTATATAAGGCCATGGAAGAAAGAGGCTTTTGCACATTTCTCCCTTGCCTTTGCCTTGTTACCAAGCCCATTCCTTCGGCGGAATTCCTTTCTACTTCTTTGGGATTCCAGCATATACTGAAGACCAGCCAAGAGATCCAGCATTGTGGATCAAGCCTCTCCTGGAATCACCGACTTTCATTTCAAGTCGCCCATTGTTGTATTAGAAGAACTGCAGCCTGTAAGTAATTCCAATAACCTTTAGAGAGAGAGGAAGAAGGTGAATGAATCATTGTATAAGTTACTCTTTTGTTTTTGAGAACTCCATGGCTCTACCACCTTAGGTTTCTCAAATGGGCCAAAAACCGAGTGTGCAAATGCCCAGGCTGTAGGAACAATTCCCATGCAAACTACCTTGGTGGTTTTGTTTACCTTATCTCAAGCCTTTTGAGCACTTGGGGTCCAGTAGCTAGTGCTGCTGGCAAAGTTGTGGAAGGCACAGAGGTGAAGCTTTCTAGGAATAATTTACTGGTGGACAGAGAACTCCTAATGCAATGTCACAAGACACCAAACAACACATCTCTGAGGAACAAAATGTTCCCAGAACCACAGATTCTAGGTGTGTTGAAAGCTGCAGTGCAAATAAATAGTTCCTCTCCAGTATTCAGTCTTAAGTATTCCTTGATCATAGCCATGGTAAAAATAACAAGGGCTTTCTTATGGTATAGAAACTGAGAAAAAAGCCGGGCGGTGGTGGCGCACGCCTTTAATCCCAGCACTCGGGAGGCAGAGCCAGGTGGATCTCTGTGAGTTCGAGGCCAGCCTGGGCTACCAAGTGA